TCTTGCGTATAAATAGAGAAATAATACAACAAAGAAGTAGTCAAATTCAGTTAGATTTGTTTAGATGTCGGTTTGATTAGATTCCTTTTGAATTTAGTCCACCTAGTCCAGGTGTAGATTGATTTTTAAGTCAACTTTAATCAAATCCAACCTTAGATCTTATTAATTTTTGTCTATTCAAGTCCAATCAAAATTGTGAAATTCCGAAGCACAACTCTATGCAAGTTCGTCACCTACAAGCCCAAGTTACCGCCCAATAGCAGGCCGATTGGTTTGTCCGAGTAAAGAGGAGATCCAGCCGAACAATCGACATCTTAGATATCGTATGATTCAATTGTTATTATCTTTTTTTCAAAAAAAAAATATTATTATTATTTTTGACTAGCAAAAAACAAAGGGAAAATTGTGTCAAGACCTCAAAAGCAAAATCTTCATGTGCTGCAGCTCCTTTGACTTTTTCTCATGTGGTTCAGCCTTTAAATTAGAGATATATGTTCCGCAGCTCTCTTTTAACAATTATTATCTGCCAACTAAGCATAGAGAGAGAATAAAAAGTAAAAAACCCTAAAATACATTTGTCTCCTATATTCTTTCATGTTAAGTCTAAAAGCAAGTTAGAATTAGGCTTAACATGAAAGTCTACTTCATGTTAAGTCTATTTCGGTTCATGTTAAGTCTAATTTAATTCTTTTTAAGTCTAATTTAAATCATGTTATGTCTAATTCAATTTGTTTCAAGTCTAATTTAAATTATGTTAAGTCTAATTCAACTTGTTTTAAGTCTAATTTCATGTTAATCCTAATTTAATTCATATTAAGTCTAATTTAATTCCTTTTAAGTCTAATTTAAATAATATTATGTCTAATTCAATTTGTTTTAAGTCTAATTCAACTGGATTTAACATGAAATTAGACTTAAAAAGTTAAATTGGACTTAACATGATTTAAATTAGACTTAAAGAAATTTAACATGATTAAAATTAGACTTAAAATAAGTTAAAATAGACTTAACATGATTCATGTTAAGTCTAGACTTAAAATAAGTTAAAATAGACTTAACATGATTCATGTTAAGTCTAATTCAACTTATTTTTAGACTTAAAATAAGTTAATAGACTTAACATGATTCATGTTAAGTCTAATTCAACTTATTTTTAGACTTAAAATAAGTTGAATTAGATATAACATGATATAAATTAGACTTAAAATGAATTAAATTAGACTTAAAATAATCAAAAATGGACTTAACATGAATCAAATTAGACTTAATAAGAATTAAACTTAAAACAAGTTGAATTAGACTTAATGTGATTCATGTTAAGTCTAATTCAACTCTTCTAATTCAACTTGTTTTTAGACTTGAAACAAGTTGAATTAGACATAATATTATTTAAATTAGACTTAAAAAATTAAATTAGACTTAACATGAACTAAATTGGAACATGAAATTAGACTTAAAACAAGTTGAATTAGACTTAACATGATTTAAATTAGACTTAATATAAACCTAATTAGACTTAACATGAACTGAATTGGACTTAACATGAATCGAATTTGACTTAACATGATTTAAATTGGACTTAACATTAACCGAATTGGACTTAACATGATTTAAATTGGATTTAACATGAACCAAATTGGACTTAACATGAACTGAATTGGACTTAACATATAATCCATATTAAGTCTATTTCATTTTATTTTAAGACTAATTCCATGTTAAGTCAAATTTAAATTAGACTAAAAATAATTTAAATTAAACTTAACAAGATTTAAATTAGTCTTAAAATAATTTAAATTAGATTTAAAATAATTTAAACTAGACTTAACACGAACCAAACTGAACTTAACACGAACCAAACTAGATTTAACACGAAATAAACTGGATTTAACATGAACCAAACTGGACTTAACATGAACTAAATTGGACCTAATACTAAATTAGATTAAAATTAGACTTAAAAGGAATTAAATTAGATTTAACATGAAGATTTTTTTTTTGGAGCCTTAACACAATTTTCCCGAAAATTTTAAGTCTAATTTTATGTTAAGTACAATTTTACTTCATGTTAAGACCAATTTGATTCATGTTAAATCTAATTTAATTTTTTTTAGGTCTAATTTTAATCCAATTTAGTGTTAAGTCTAGTTTAGTTCATGTTAAGTCCAGTTTGGTTCATGTTAAGTCTAGTTAGATTCGTATTAAATCCAGTTTGGTTCGTGTTATGTCCAGTTTGGTTCGTGTTAAGTCTAGTTTAAATTATTTTAAGTCTAATTTAAATTGTTTTAAGTCTAATTTAAATCTTGTTAAGTCTAATTTAAGTCTAATTTAAATTGTTTTAAGTCTAATTTAAATCTTGTTAAGTCTAATTTAAATTATTTTAAGTCTAATTTAAATTTAAGTCTAATTTAAATCTTGTTAAGTCTAATTTAAATTATTTTAAGTCTAATTTAAATTGGACTTAACATAGAATTAGACTTAAAATAAAATACAATAGATTTAACATGGATTATATGTTAAGTTCAATTCAGTTCATGTTAAGTTTAATTTGGTTCATGTTAAGTCTGATTTGTTCATGTTAAATCTAATTCGGTTCATGTTAAGTCTAATTTAATCATGTTAAGTCCAATTCGATTAATGTTAAGTCCAATTTAAATTATGTTAAGTCCAATTCAGCTCATGTTAAGTCCAATTCAATTCATGTGAAGTCCAATTTAAATCATATTTAGTCTAATTCAACTTGTTTTAAATTTAATTTTATGTTGCATCCAATTTAGTTTATGTTAAGTCTAATTTAATTTATTTTAAGTCTAATTTAAATAATGTTATGTCTAATTCAACTTGTTTCAAGTCTAAAAACAAGTTGAATTAATTTTAAGTCTAATTTAAATAATGTTATGTCTAATTCAACTTGTTTCAAGTCTAAAAACAAGTTGAATTAGACTTAACATGAATCACGTTAAATTCAACTTGTTTCAAGTCTAAAAACAAGTTGAATTAGACTTAACATGAATCACGTTAAGTCTAATTCAATTTGTTTTAAGTTTAATTTCATATTAAGTCTAATTTGATTCATTTTAAGTCCATTTTGGTTCATATTAAGACTAATTCAGTTCATGTTAAGTCTAATTTAATTCTTTTTAAGTCTAATTTATATCATGTTATGTCTAATTCAACTTATTTTAAGTCTAAAAACAAGTTGAATAGACTTAACATGAATCATGTTAAGTCTATTTCAATTTATTTTAAGTCTAATTTTAATCATATTAAATTCCCTTTAAGTCTAATTTAAATCATGTTAAGTCTAATTCAACTTATTTTAAGTCTAATTTCATGTTAAGTCTAATTAAATTAGACTTAAACAAGTTGAATTAGATATAACATAATTTAAATTAGACTTAAAAGAAATTAAATTAGACTTAATATGAATTAAATTGGACTTAATATGAAATTAGACTTAAAACAAGTTGAATTAGACTTAACACGAATTAAATTAGACTTGAAACAAGTTGAATTAGACATAACATAATTTAAATTAGACTTTAAAGGAATTAAATTGGACTTAACATGAACTGAATTAGACTTAGTATGAAATAGACTTTCATGTTAAGTCTAATTTAACTTGCTTTTAAACTTAACATGAAAGAATAGATGAGATAATGGCATTTTGGGTTTTTTTATTTTTTTATTCTCTCTCTATGCTTAGTTGGCAGATAATAATTGTTAAAAGAGAGTTGCAGAACATAGATCTCTAATTTAAGGGCTGAACCACATGGAAAAAAGTCAAATGGGCTGAAGCATATGAAGATTTTACTTTTGGGGCGTTGACACGATTTTCCCAAAAACAAATTACTATTAATTTTATTTTTTGTCTTTGTTTTTTCTCTTGGAAACAAAGACGGTGGTAAGAGTTCGAATTTAGGACAGTCTAGAATTGTACCCATCCTCAATAATTTACAAAGGCTAAATTATCAAGTTGGTAGTTTTTTTTTACATCTATCTCATTGGTTTGGTATTTTTCTGTCTCCAATGATCTTTTGATATTTTTTCTGAACCAAACGTACAATTTGGACCTAGAACTTCCCTGCCGACAAAAATAAAGCTGTGAAACCTCCTTCCTCCTAGCATTTTTTTTTTTTTTGCTCTCACAAGTTATCTCCACATTCCTTTGGGGGAAAGAAGAAGAAGAAGAAGAAGCTATCTTAACTATATTTGGAGGTAATTAACACTATGCTCCCACTTTTTTTTACCAAAATTTACTTCCTTTTAATGGATTCAACATTCTTGCATAAGGTCATGCACTTTTTTCATCAATAAGATAGTATTAACAACGTCAAGTGAGGTCTCAAGGCTTTCTTTTTTGCTGGTGGTGAAGTTTTTGATCTAATTCCATACTTGGCTTAGATAAAATACCAAAATGGTAAGAGTGATGTAACAAAATACCAATTTGATAATTTAGCCCTTGATCAAATAGTATTTTTTTATTTTCTTATTTTTTATTGTTATAACAAAGCCACCAGGAATCAAACCCAAGACTATGGAGGCTATATTGAAACCTCCCAATCATTCGGGTCACCCACGGTGCTCTGATCAAATAGATATTTACTTGATAAGAAAATGTTATAAATAATAAGGGTTTACAAGATATTGATTCCTGAAATAATCAATAGTTTGGAATAGGTCCCCTAAATGTTGATATTTTGAAATCAGCCTTCCAAAATCTTGAATGTTCACCCACCACTAGTGATTCAGACGATTAAGGTGTTCCTGTATGTCTTCCACGGTTTTGGGTTCAATTCCGGATTGGGTTATCAAAAAAGAAGAAGAAACCCTAAGAAGTGTGTCTAATTTGAATTAACCCCAAAAGGTATGGAAATGCCACTTGATCACGAAAACTTTTGCATTTTTTGAATCTAATTTTAAAATTAAAATGTTGGCAACCCGAAATTTTTGGGTCATCTTTTTAAACCCGTAATTTTTGGGGTTACCTGAAAAAGTTTTGGGGTTTAGACATCTACAAACTTTTTGGAATATTTTAACAATGAGCCAAACTTCTTGGGGGGTTTTGTGAAATTTACCATTTTCTCCTGATACGAGCTAAGCTGGAGATATTTGTCCTTCTCCTTCGTTTTCATCGTATCCAAAATGATGCATTGTTCTCTTCTCCTCGTTCACAACGATGGCGATAACTGTCACCATGCGTCCTCTCTTGTTCCCATTGCCGCCATTGGACATAATCCTGTAACAGAAAAGCTTGCACTTGCAGTGAACAGAGAGAGCAGAGCAATTCTCATGGACATTGCTCAAGTTGGTATGTTCTATTTTTTATTTTTTCAATGTGCCCAAAAACTGTTTGTGTTTTCTCTCAAGAGAAAAAAAAACTGAAGAAAAAATAATTGAGATTGTTTCAATACATGTATCACTTAGTTTCAATAGATTGTTTCTGAACAATATTTGGTTTTCTAGTTTGGTTAATCCAGCAAGTTTAGATTGTGCATCCTCTGTAAGACCTTGTGCACTGTGCTGTTCAAAGTTTAGAACTTTGGTGTTATTAATAGGAAGTTTATAAATCTCTGCTGGGTATTTTGAAGCATTATGATCTTAGTAATCTTTATGTGCAATCCTGCAGTTTCCTTTCTCCTTGGGTCGTGTGGGTCTGCTAAAATCCCAAATAATGAATTGTAGATGTCTTATGTCATTTCAAGGTGTGCATCTTTTAGTTCAAAGGGATGAGTCTCGACGTCTCGTTGAGTAGTAACCATAAAAGCTATTATCATCAGCATGCAATATGCATTGATTGTGTGCTAATGATCCAATTGCATTGGAGTAGATTGTTGACGTTCTTTTGGTATGTATATGTTTGTTTTGTTATTGGCCCTTTTTTTGGGGAAACTTTATGTCCATCACGTTTTTTTTTTCCCTCTTTCGAATTTTGTAATTTAACATTTATACTTTTGCGTCCTCTTTGCATGACATAAACAAAGGGAATTCAGAAGTAACCCAGTTGGACTATACTAAAAATATCTAGCTGTCAGAAGAACATTAACATTGCAGAATTACAACAGTTATCCCTAGTCTAAATCGAACAGCAACAAGCGTTCTGAGACTAAGTGTAATCGGTTGTTTTTTTTAATAAGCATAGAAACAGCTGAGCGCATAGCGATCTGCTGTTCTTCATGCAGGATCTCCTCACTGGGAAGTTTGGACGCTGAGATAAACATAATACGGCGTTGAGACACATGACACACAAATTGCTTCATGGCGTATTCCTTAAAATGTGGGAAAAGGGACAAGATTACATACATAGATAATTATCTTAGAAATCTAGATGGTTAGATGTATGAGCATGTTAATTTATGCAGAATGCTTAAGTTAGTACATTGGTAAAGTGAAGATTAGGATTCAGGGGCACCAAAAAGTTACCAATTTCTCAATAGAAAGTTCATAGCGTAAGCCAAGCTATTTTGTCATGCAATCCCATATAGTTAACCTACTAAAGTGCGCCCGGATTCTTTTTCTTATTTTCTATACTACATATTCTACTTGCTATTTTGTCAAGTGAGCTTTTGGTAACTGTTCCAACTGTAGCAGATTCATTCTTTCTCTTTGGAAGCATAATAATTGTCATTGTTCTTGCAATCCTGATAGCGATCTTATGGAAATGTATCAAGCCAGAGAAGTTACAGAAGCTGTTAAAATCCACCAAAACACCCCCAGGTAAACTTACGTTTTTCGATTAAAAAAAATAGAAGACCAAAAACTGTCTATTTTTCATGGTTTTGAAGTTTCCCTGCCATTTGTTGTACCAGGTCCAGACTGCTTCCACTAACTACTTGGACTACCGAACCCTGAAGAAAGCAACAAACAACTTCCACCACAATAACCAACTTGGTAGGGGAGGGTTTGGGCCAGTCTACCAGGTAACCAGGGAAGAATAGGATAACATATAGGGTTAATTGCACATGGATCCCTGTAGTATCATTGTTACAGATAGTCCCCATGGTTAAATATTTTTGATTCTTTTACCTTAGATGAAACCTTGGAAGATATTGCCCATGGGTGACCAGTGAGTATAGTCCCCATGGTTAAATATTTTTGATTCTTTTACCTTAGATGAAACCTTGGAAGATATTGCCCATGGGTGACCAGTGAGTCCATGGTTAAATATTTTTGATTCTTTTACCTTAGATGAAACCTTGGAAGATATTGCCCATGGGTGACCAGTGAGT